TGTGTGTGTGTGTGTGTACCCAGCAGCCGCACTGCAAAGATTGCTGGATGTGTGTCTCCTGATGATTGGCTGTCCTCAGAAAGGTCAAGTGTTATTTGATTAAAAGGTTAATATACTCGTTTGGCTGCATCAACAGCCGCTCCATGAAGACTCATCAGTGGTGTAAAGTCTAAATGATTCTATTAAAATCTGTTCTTGGACTCAGTGTGTATAGAGCCTGTTTGAAATTTGATTAATGGACACGTCGCCCTCTGGTGGCTATTTTCAAGTTCTTCATAAAATTCTAGACTAGAAATGAAGACTTTTAAAGGCCATTATGAATGCAATTTAAGACCGATTTTACATCCATTCTGGCAAAAACAGTACAAAGGAAATGAAGAAAAATTTGTTTTGGTTTCATGTCAGTTTCGTTTTGTCGTTACATCATCATCAATACACTCTTCTCAAAAACGTTTGAGACTGAAAAATTAAACTTCATACACTAATAACATTAACCTCAATAATCCAATCACTTTTTAACATGTACAAATCCTATTTAGGACATTATAAAATTCTGATTATTGGATTTTGGACTTTAAGAGCCTGGGTTTCCAATATGACAGGTTTTAGAAATTCTCCATGTTGGGGAGTTCATGCTTGACCTCGGAAACAGCAGCTGACAGCTGGTTAAGCTCATAAAAATATTAACATGCATCTATTTCGTTTCCAGACAGGTACCAGCGATCATGTGGTCTTCTACAGTAAGAAAAGCAGCACTGATGGTGATAATAATAAAACATTTTATTTGTATAGCACTTTTCTAAATACTCAAAGACACTTTACAAGGAGAGAGAAAGCAACGATGAAAACATGTCATGAATAAAAATAGAAACAACTTTAAAAAGAGATAATACAATGTCAGTAGAATTGTGGGTATTTCAATGAACACCATGTTAGCGAGATAACGTAACAGAACTACATACTGGATCCTTGATTAAACTGTTATCCATCAAATTGACCGTTTGCAAAATTCACTTCGTCTTTTCTATGTGTTTACTTGGAAGTTATCCGGTTAACGGCGGCTGGCTGCTTATTGAAACACCCTGAAGGTAGGTGTCATCTAAATCCATCCTGGGAGCAGTGAGACGTAGGCATTTTTCTACAGGAAAAGCAACACTGGAGGGTGTGTCGGAGTTGAGGCGGAGGAGGTGGTGGTGGTGGTGGGTGGGGTCCAGAGCTGCAGACATACTGTATTTTGGCCACTGTAGTTTCCAGATGCAGCCGTGTTATGGGCTCAAACCCGGCCCAGTCCTGCTGCTAAGTCACTGGTGATGGTGTGTGTGAGTGAGTCGTGATGAGGGGTTGATGTAAGGCAATGTTACATCTTTACAGCCGACACAGCTCTAGACAGAGGGAGGGGTTGACGGTAATAATTATACAGCACTTGTCTTAAAGTGCTTTAAAGTGAGAGGAACAAGTGGAGGAACTTTGAGGTCCTTTCCAACAGAAGGGCTTTCAGTCTTCACAACACCGAGAAGCCAAACTGGCGTCAAAAATGTTTTTGCAGAACAGCAGTGAGCGGAGTGGTTTCCGCCGTGGTCCTCGCTGCCGATGCTCCGGGATGAGAGGTCGTGGGGCGCTGTAACGGAAACGGCTTTCTGAAATAGTCATGACACCTCCTAACGCACAATATACACAAGCTTCATTCAGGAGTTAAAGGGGAACGTTTGGAGAAAGAAAACAAAAAAGAAATAAAAGATTTGTTTCCCCTTTTCCTTTCCAGAAGCCTCTTGACAAAAAAAAGTTGGGTTTTATGTTCAAAAACATATTTGAAGGGAGAATTTTGTCTCATTTACTTTGACAACTTGGCGCCCTGGAATCCCTCAACTTTCAGGGTCTGGAACACACTTTTGATAAAAATAGCCTCTTCGTTTCTTTTAACATATGGAAAAGGGGCGGGGTGGGGAGAGACACTATTCATAATGGGAAGGATAGATATTTTCATAACTAGCGTGGGAGAGGAGGATGGGGAGATAAAATTCTTAGCGAGAGGACAGACATTTTAACTTATATCCAGTACATGGCATAGATCATACATGAGGGTCAAGGCAACACATTTTTTTTTAAACCTAACTACTCAGTAATCAATCTCAACTAGTTCTCAATGTGCCCTTCCCCGTTCCCAAACACAACGTTCCAAAGGAGGGGGTGGGGTGGTGGAGGGGCATCCCAACTCCTTCCTCCTTGATGCTGGGTCCGAAAGAGGCTGAGAGGAGGAGGAGGAGGAGGAGGGCGTGTGGGGGGTGGTGGTGGTGGAGGACGCGACCGTGAGGCGGGGCGGCTGGTTCCCGGGAGGTCTCATTGATTGTAGAGGGAGCGCTGCTCCCAGGGCATGGCCTGGATGGTGCGTGGCACGGGGGAAGGCTTGAGCGTGGGCGCTCCGTTCGGATGGAGGGAGTGGCCGATGGGGTTGATGGTGGTGAGGGGCCGCTGGGGGGCCAGAGAGAAAGTGTCCTGGTGCTTCGGCTGCAGGGGGAGGAGGGGGGAGAGGAAGGGAATTAGAGAGGAGAAAAAGAATGGATAGATTGGGGGAAAAAAGAGTAAAATATCAGTGTCAGCGGAGTGACTTCTCAGATAAAATAACAGCGTTTAATGCATGTACAGTTAAATGGGTGAGAAAAAGAGGAGTTGGGAAAACACACACACACACACGCAGAAAGCAACAATGAAGGCGTAGAGTTAGAGACAGAACATGGAGAGCAGGGCTGCACACAGATCTTTTCATTCTGTTGTTGTTCTCATCTCTCTGTGTGAGTGTGATTTACTTAAGTGCAATTCAAATGATCATCAAGATACGTTACTGCCACAGAATCACACTGACTCCTTTCAATTAGTCAATTAGAAGTCAATTATCAATGAATCAGCTAATTGTTAAGCTCTAGTTGGCTGAGATGACAGGAAATCAAAGGAGGGACACCTTATACTAAGGTTCTTCTTATTCTTTAAGACATGACTGTAAAGCACAATGTCTCAATATGGCAACGCAGTGATGATTAGACAGCTGGAAGTAGTCCACAGATGGAGGACATTGTATTCGTAAATAACTACTGGCAGTAAGTAATGAAATGTGAGTCATGTGCAGCACCAACTCCAACATCAACAACACAGAGTGAGTGATTGATTAGTGTCAGAGTGTGAAAGGTGGGACTGAGTTAGCAGCACAGCCCCAAGTTAGTAGTGTCCTACCGCCAGAGAGCATCCACAGTTCAGAGTTAAAGAAAGAAGGAGCCCATCAGCTGGATTTTAGTCTGCTGCTTTGCTTTGCTGGGCACTGGGAGCATTGTTGGGGGGGCTTCAACATCAAACTCTATAAAAGCTCATTAGTAGTACTACTACTAATCATTCCTATTCAATGTACTGGGTGCCACCATCAGGAGGATGATAATGCTACCAATACTAATCAGGTCTGTATTGTTTTCAGTCCCAGTGTCTGAGCCAGGACTGGGGGGGGGGGGTCAAATGGACCCATTAGCCCCTCTCTAGATGCTTTTCTTGATCAAGAGAACACCCTGTTTGTTTGACCCCGGGTTTAACTTGCAATGACACAATGTTTATTCAGTATTCTACTCAATATTTTACCTGGAACTAAAGCTCACATTTACTGACACAATATGTACATTATGAGATAGTCAAAATCTACAGTAGCCCAGAAGGGACAAACCAAACACTGGCTCGAGATAGAAGCATTTCCCAGCCACCATAGTTCCTCCTTTGCACTTAAATCCTCCACACTGGACCTTTAAGGTTGGTTTAACACTGCAGACCAGTCTAAAAATATCTGGATGAAACCAGCACCATTATTATTATTATTATTATTATTGTTATTATTTGTCTTTGGTTGAGTGTGATGATTTTCTACCTTCATATTTTCACAAACTGACGAGGACACTGATTAAAATACTGATGCGATGTGTCTAATTAAGGGATTCCAAATATTGTTTCCTAAATACTAGCAATTACTTGTTTGACGGTACGTGTTGTAAAAGTTTCCATCAGTGCCCAAAGAATATATGAAATGAAAACAGCAGACTAAAACCCAAAAGAGTTAAGAAGAGAGCCAAGACCGTGTCCACCGGGCGTCTCTACAGACAGCAGCACTCAAGTTAAGTTGCACCTCTCTTTGTCTTAACTATGAAAACAGTTGTATCTGCAATCCACCGCCAGGAGGTTGAAAGACCTGAGCTGTGAGCAGAGGCTCCCGGTGCACACGTAAAGCATTGAAATATTAGTCCCTCCCTCCAGGTGTTAGTAGCCAGACAGGGAGAAGGGCAGCTAGGCAGCTAGCCAGCAGACAGCGGACGGCGGGGCGTGTGGCGGTTCGCTCTCCTACCATGGGGTTGGCGCTCAGTCTAGTGTATCCCGAGCTCATCTCCTTTACCTCAGGCACCAGGGGCTGGAGCAGGGAGTAGGAGGAGGACGGGGTGGCGCTGGAGGAGGAGACGTGTTTGTTGGAGGACGAGCTCCTCATGCTCTGCTGGCTGCTCTGGGAGGACACCGAGCTGGGACGGCCCTGCTGGAACAGACAGAAGCTCAACACACACTCCCCAGAACAACAACACTACTATTAATATAGAATGAGTCCCCTCCCGATCCCTACCTGGTGGGGGTCAGGCACAGACTGGCTGCTCACACCGCCCTGCCCTCCCTGAGACATGGGGGAGACGCAGTGGGAGGGCAGAGGTTCCTGCTGGCCGTGTCCTCCATGCTGCGGTTGCATCATGGAGTTAGCGCTGTTCTGCTGTTGCTGCTGCTGTTGTTGCTGTTGCTGCTGGCGGCGGGCAGTGTTGGAGTAATTGGAACGACGACTGCCGGACTGGATGGGAGGAGGGAGGAGAGCAGGAGGTGGGCAGAGAAAGACAGGATGAAGAGGGGGTTCTGTAAGTCATTTCTGTCTGTGCGCATACTGCGTGTGCCACATGCGTGCCAGTCATGCACATAGAGTTTGTGATCAGATACGGAGCGGAGGAGAGGCGATGGATGAATGTGATGGACTGTTTTCCACACTCTTCAAGCTTCTTGTGCCGCTCAGCGTAAATATCTAAAGTTGATGCATTTTAATTCTGTCTTACTAATGAATTAACCCCTCCCTATCCTATCTCTATTTACACCTATTAATATGAGGAGATGGAGTGGTCAAGTTGTACACACATACACACATAAACACTCACACAGCCTAGCAATTATAACTACATAGACTGTCAACAGGACTCTATACTGTCTTCCAAGTGTCTTAGAAGATGCTTGCCTTGTCAACTGGTCCTCTAACCCTGACAGCTACAGAGTTTTTGCTGAAGGTTAAACCCAACCTGAAGATTTAGAGCTACAGAAGACCTCAAAGCTTTATTTGGCCTCATTGTTCCGCTACGTCGGACAATTCTGTGTTTTCTTTTACAACCCAGGTCTTATCTTCATACTTCCAAGCATCAGTCGTGTCTGGTATGTTTACATTTTACAGACCAGATTCTCTGCCAGGGCAATCAATAAGGAAATGAATTGAGGGACCTTTTTTGCTGTGGGCTCCAGTAACAGTTGAGCAAGAGGTCAGAACCTCAGTCAACTGCCATATATACAGTCACATCATAAGTTAGCAAAACATTAATGTTAGGTATCTAATGACTGATGTAAATTAGCTAGCTATTTAGCTCATGTTTTGCTCCGTAGCAAAACGCTATCTAACTAATGATTAATGTAGAATTAGCCTAAGCTGACTGAGGTTCTGACTGAAGCTTGCTCAACGGTAATTGGACCACAGGGCAAAAAGGGGCAGGACTTTCGAAGGGGTCAATTGTGATAGGTTATTATCTGTTCACAGCCAGTGTGGACAGGAGAAACGTACTTACTGCAATGTTTATAAGAAGCGTATCAGTACTGTCAGACCTGAAAACCGGTTCATGTTTTTTTCACTTCCAAAATAATCCATAATCACTGGTCATCTGTGGGTTTTAAAGCTGTGTCTACTGGTCAGGGTTGGAATAACCCACAAGGAGGCCCAGAAGCAAAAATGAGCTGCAGGCCCCTCTTGATAGCCCACATCTATTCCATTCTATGTGCATATATTAGTTGGTAATTAGTCTGTATTAGCTTAATTTGGTATAAAAATGCACCATGT